AAGCCTGTGGCCAGTTGGTCACTAGGCAACGTGGTGACTCTGACTGCGCTGACTGGCGAAATTCCCTGCTGATGTGCATCGCTGATGGTGCGCAACATGCCGAGAAGCAGCCGGAAGCCCGAGCGCTCAGCGATATTGCGGAGATGATGCTGTCTGGTAAGTTGAATATGGTTCAGGCGATGGCGCGCCTGACAAGTGTGGTAGAGCGCATGTTCCCTGATGTATGGACTCCCCACAAGGTAGCAGTGCGTAAGGGTGTTCCAAAACCCCAGAAGGCACGAAGGAGAGTGATATATGCCCGGCCGCGAAGCCTGTTCAAACGTAAGCAGAAGGAGGCGGCAGTGTGCTCGCGATGGACAGTGAAAGGAACTCTGGAAATTTGCCGAGGTCAAGCTCAAAGATACGATGGAATATTGGAAAGGAGTCTTGGGAGCTGAAGGTCAGCTCGACGCGCGACCGGTGCCAACCACTCTCCAGGAATGGAGCATACTGAGCCCAATATCCAGTGCCGAGGTCACTGGAGCATTAAAGGTGTCGGTGGGGTCTTCACCTGGGATGGATAAAAAGTATGCTCGGGAACTGCTCACGTGGAAACCGAGTATTCTAGCCCAGTTGCTGAATCTATTTTTGGTGACCGAGCTTCCACCCAGAACCCTCTCGAGGGCGAGGATCTCACTGATTCCTAAAACAGTGTCCCCAGCGTCCCCGGGGGACTACCGACCCATTGCCATTTCTTCGGTCGTCCTGAGGTTGCTGCATAGGCTGCTCATTTTGCCGTTGGCTTTTCAAAAACGCGACGGATGACTTGAAGCCTCGAGTCTGCTAAACGCCATATTGCACTCGGTACATGAGACGGTTCGGCCGATAGCGGCGGCCTTTTTGGATATCTCGAAAGCTTTTGATAGGCTTTCCCAGGATACAACCCTACGGGTGACCCAGGCACATGGAACTCCTATGCCCCTTGTACGATATCTGAGACACCTATACTCCGATGGTGTTGTCAACCTGACCGGTGGGAACGTAAAGTCCAAGCGTGGTGCGCGGCAGGGTGATCCCCTATCTTCCCTCTTATTTATGATGGTACTGGATAAGGTGGTTGAGCAATGCCGTCCAGAGCTCGGCTACAACTTAGAAGGCACAAGAATTGGGGCGCTAGCGTACGCCGATGACTTAGTATTGCTGGCTCCTTCTCGTTCCGAGTTGGAGGATAAATTGGAAGGGTTAGCCTCAGCCCTAGCAGCTGCTGGTATGGATCTGAATAGCGCAAAGCGCAGCTATGGTTGTGGAGAAGTCTGGCAAGCGTAAAACGCTAGCAATTGTGCCTGGGTCACTCCAGGTTGGATCTGAGGAAGTTAAATGTCTGGGACCACGGACACAGTGAAATACCTGGGTCTGCGGTTGAATTGGAAAGGAAGATTGAGAGCGAACGCTGGAAAGATCCTTGAGGATATGCTAGTAAATATATCCAAGGCTCCGCTGAAGCCTCACCAGAAGCCGGTGATACTCAAAGATTTTACAAACCCGCACCTGCAGTATGAACTGGTTCTCGGCAGTGCGCACGGGAATACCCTGAAAGCGTTGGACATTGCACGCGGTGAGGGCATGGTTGCGGTTGCCCAAGGACACCCCGTTGGGTTTCTTCTATGCGAAAGTTAGAGCTTGGGGGCTGAGACTAATGTCATTCGCGACAACAATCCCTCCCCTTCAAAGGAAGAAGTTTCAGCGTATTGCAAGCTCTCCCGTTCCGGTAGTACGAGGCCCTCTTAAGGCTGAGAATGTGGTTTCAGACCAAAGATTGGCGTATATTCCCGTGCGTGCTAAAGGGACACTGGTAAGTTCGGCAGACGAGGCGT